TTGTAATTTTTATCAACCTTCTAGTTTTCATATAAGTGATTAGTATGATATTCTTACTGGACTAGTATAGCTCACCATTTTATTAACCATTTCAAATCAAGAAGACCAAGATTCAGATTCTAATCAGTAAGAGGGTTGTGAGTAGTTCACCTCCCGGACTCCCTTTAAGTGCTAGTGAAAGTTAACTCCTAAGATATCTATTTATCTGTTTTTAATTACTAATTATCTTTTTATGAACAAGTGTGGAACAGACATTCCCGTAGTCGTCTATTGGGTATTCGAATTTACTGTGTAATAAATTTAAACCGTAACTTTATTATTCGCTTCCGCATTAAGGATATAAATTCATTTTCTTAAGGTTTCAGGTCTTTACATTCATTGTTTATTTGGATAAATTCTTATATTCTAAAAAGAAACATAAATAATTTTTCAAATAAATTTTAGAAAACAAAATATTTAATATGCTCCGAAACATAATGTTAGATTGCTGATGAACTCGAATAGAAAAATGCACGGAGAAGAAAAGATAAAATTTGTGATGCGTTGAACGTGGATCGAACATGTGACCTTTAGATCTTTAGTTTAATGCTCTCCCAACTGAGCTATCCCCGCTTGTAAAATTTAGATAATTTGTAGTAGTCCTTGTTATAATTTTATTAAAATATTATCCAAAAAATTTAAGATAAAATATTTATTTAAAATTCTATTAGTTTTATCGAATTTAAAATATACATTTTTTATTTTGGTTAAAATAATTTAAGAGCTTCACTGTTAATTTGCATAAATTCTTACCTGCTAATAAAAATGTAAATAATTTTTTTAATAAATTTTAGAAAAGAAAATATTTAATCTACTCTGAAACATAATGTTAGATTGCTGATGGACTCCCTTACAAAATTTTGTTTTCTCATGTGAGTAACTCGAACAGGAAAATGCGCAGAGAAGAAAAGATAAAATTTGTAATGCGATGAACGTAGATCGAACACGTGACCTTTAGATCTTTAGTCTAATGCTCTCCGAAATGAACTATCCCCACTTTGTAAAATTTAATTAATTGGTAGTAGTACTTGTTAAAATATTATTAAAATATTATCTGAAAAATTTAAGATAAAATATTTATTTAAATTTTTTTTAGTTTTATCGAATTTGAAATATATTTTTCTGATTTTAGTTAAAATAATTTAAGATTTAAGAGCTTCACTGTTAATTTGGATAATTCTTACCTTCTAATAAAAACATAAATAAATTTTTAAATAAATTTTAGAAAAAAAAATATTTAATATGTTCTAAAACATTGCGATAGATTGCTTGTTGACTCCCTTATAAAATTTCATGTTCTCTTGTGGAGAACTCAAACAGGAAAATATGCAGAGAAAAAAAGATAAAATTTGTGATGCGGTGAAAATGGATTGAACACTTGACCTTCAGATAAGAGTCTGATGCTCTCCCAACTGAGCTATTCCCGCTTTGTAAAATTAAATAATTTTGAATAGAATCTGTTAGACTTTTATTAAAATATCATCGAAAAAATTTAAGGTTAAATATTAATTTAAATTTTTTTTAGTTTTATCGAATTTGAAATATATTTTTTTGATTATAGTTAAAATAATTTAAGTGCTTCAATATTAATTTGGATAATTCTTACCTTCTAATAAATACATAAATAAATTTTTAAATAAATTTTAGAAAAAAAATTTAATATATTCCAAAATATTATGTTAGATTGCTTATGGACTCCCTTATAAAATTTCGTGTTCTCCCGTGGGGAACTCAAACAGAAAAATGTGCACAGAAAAAAAGATAAAATTTGTGATACGGTGAACATGGATCAAACATGTGACCTTCAGATCTTCAGTCTGACGCTCTCCCAACGGAGCTATCCCCGCTTTGTAATATTCAAATAATTTTGAATAGTTTCTGTTAAAAGTTTATTAAAATATCATCCGAAAAATTTAGGATAAAATATTGATTTAAATTTTCTTTAGTTAAAATAATTTAAGTGCATCAATGTTAATGTAACACCCAATAATTTCTTTTATTTTTATTTTTATTTTTTTTAAATATAGTTATTTATTTATTTTAATTTATTTTATTTTATTTTAATGAAAAATGAGGTAAAAATTTATTAAGGATTAAATTAGAAATAATTTTGAGAAAAATGGATAAAAATTTGGGTTCTATGGATATTTTTGAAAGAAAAATAAAAAATCAGGGGTCAAAACGTAATTTAAAAAAATTGCACCATGTCAGATGCCCGATTAGTAGCCCTGACCAACCAAGACGCACCAGGTGGCAGAGGTGCTGACGTGGGAGACCACGCGGTGGGGATCCACGTGGGCGATCTGCGTGCGCGCGATCGAACAACTGAGGTCCGTTCCCGCGCGCACGAACGATCCAGATTCAATCGCACACGGACGGTCCAGATTGCATCACGCATGGACGACCCAGATTGAATCGCGATGAACAGTCCAGATACACTCCCTATTTAATCACTATCGGACGGTCCATATCAAAAGCGATGGATGACCCAGATCAAAAGCATATGGGTATAAATAACCTAATCCACACCCAAACCCTAACCCTAGCCGCCACACCGCCGCCACACCAGAGGAATTTTTGACCGCCAAACGAGGTAAAAATTTTACCCTTTGCTCATAATTTAATTTTAATACACCCATAACCAAATCGGAGTAAAAAGTCCAGTCGATTGGCCAGAAAATGCTGGCAAGGCCCGGGTGGCGCCGTTGTGGGGTATTTCAGAAAATGCCTCCGATGAGGCCCTTCTCGATTCCCGTTCGATGTGATTTATTCACCGTTGCGATCACTGTTTTCTTCTCTACAGGTTAATCGGAGCAAAACACCCAACCACAACGTGAGCCAGAGGAGCATCCGCATCGGAGAGCCCCACCGCTGGTGAGTTTCGATTTTCTACGTTTTTTCGGCCAATCGAGGACTCTAAGTATGTTTTCTCTCAGGAACTGATGCAAATTTGGTTGAATTTGGCCGAAAATAGCCAACCCGAGACGGATTGCCACCGTGCCAGATTTCCAAAATTGGCTGAATAGGTCCTGGGACTGATTTTTGGGTTATTTAGAACATTTGCAGGTACCGTAAGCACGTTTCAGTTCCCGAAGAAAAATTTAGGAAACCCAAGGACTGTCTGTAGGCGCAGTAAACCATTTAGTTTTTCTGCATCAAATCAAGTAAAGACCCCTCACCCTATTTCCTATCATGGAATTGAAGTTTGAATAAATAATAATATTGTATTTTGTACAAATTAAATAGATGTACATAATTAATTACAGATTGCTAATGGAGCCCGAACCGGACATTGTTCTCTGTTGATTTGTGTTGATTGATCTTGCAGTCTAAAAGCATAATGGTTTCTAGTTTATCTATTTTATAGTTTAAATGCATGTATTATTGCCTTACTTGACCACTGTTTGATTTCAGAATTTAAGATATGATTGCATTGTCGGATGCATGTTTATTTATTTATGTGATAATATTTGATTTAGTAATGGAGACTAAGGAAAAACAGGAAAGTAGTGTGATCTAATAAACAGATAAGATGACAGCCTCACTAGATATCCTGAGAGATGATGGACAGACGGGGTTCATAGGAAACCCTACCGTGAACGTTGTCTCATACCGGACGAGGTATGGAGACTTGGTAATTTGGCGCTCATACTGGACGGGGTATGGGGACGGCCCACTTTACCCTCATACTGGACGGACTATTGAGGTTTAATGTCTTGACGCTCATATAGGATGGAATATGGGGTCGGCTATGTAATTAAAACTGTTAAGGAAAAGGGTTCACATGTAGCGGGGACACCCCTATGAATCCCCATGGATACTAGTAGGCTGGTGAAACGAGAAACGGTTACGATTTCATTTATTGTTAATAAATGTGAATTTATGATATGTTCTATGTTGCTGATCGTGCATGAAATTATGATATATATGATATTATTGCTTCTATAATTTGTTTTCATAAATTCCCCAATGGTAAGTAAATGGGTAAATAGTTTTATTTTAAATAAATGTGTTGGTTTAAATCTAATGCTCCATTAGTTGTTTTTATTTTCTACCAACCTTTGCTTATATGTCGATGATATTGTGTGATGTCCTTACTGGGCTAGTGTAGCTCACCCCTCATTTAACCATTTCAGATCAAGATGACCTAGTTCCCGAGTCTGATCAGCAAGAAGATTACGAGTAGATGCTAGATATTTTATATTTTCCTTTACTTTTCTCATTTCTCATGTTTCTTTCAGAGAATTCATTCCGTGATGTTTGTTTAGTACTTTTAAGTTATTGTGTAAGGGATGTAAACCTTAACCTTTTATTTCACTTCCGCACTTAAATTATTATATATTTCCTTTTGAATTTTTGTGGTCGTTACAGTTAATTTAGATAATTCTTACATTCTAATAAAAACATAAATAAATTTTAGAAAATAAATATTTAATATATTCCAAAACATAGTTAAATTGCTTATGGACTCCCTTATAAAATTTCATGTTCTCCTGTGGGGAACTCAAACAGGAAAATGTATAGAGAAAAAAAGATAAAATTTGTAATGCGGTGAACGTGGATCGAACACGTGGACCTTCAGATCTTCAATTTGACGTTCTCCCAACTAAGCTATCCCCGCTTTGTAATATTTATATAATTTTGAATAGTGTCCGTTATAAGTTTATTAAAATATCATCCGAAAAATTTAGGGTAAAATATTGATTTAATTTTTTTTAGTTAAATAATTTAAGTGCTTCAATGTTAATTTGGATAATTCTTACATTCTAATAAAAACATATATAAATTTTAGAAAAAAAATATTTAAAATATTCCAAAACATTATGTTAGATTGCTTATGGACTCCCTTATAAAATTTCATGTTCTCCCGTGGGGAACTCAAACAGGAAAATGTGTAGAGAAAAAAAGATAAAATTTGTGATGCGGTGAACGTGGATCGAACACATGGACCTTCAGATCTTCAATCTAATGCTCTCCCAACAGAGCTATCCCCGCTTTATAATATTTAAATAATTTTAAATAATGTATGTTAAAATTTTATAAAAATATCATCCGAAATATTTAGAGTAAAATATTCAAAACTCACCAATGGTGGGGCTCTCCAGTGTGGCGGCTCCTCCGGCTCACATTGCAGTTTGGTGTTTTTCTTCAGTCAATCTGTAGAGAAGGAAACAGTGATCACAACGGTGTAAAAATTACATCGAACAGGAATCGAAAAGGACCTCATCGGAGGAGTTTTCTGAAACACCCTGTGGTGGCGCCGCTGAGCTTCGGTAGCGTTTTCTGGCCAATTAGCCGGTTCTTTCACTCCAATTTGGCATGGGTGGGTTTAAAATTGAATTCCGTGCAAGATGAAAAATTTTTACCTCGTTTGGCGATGAAACATTGCTCCAGTGCGGCAGCGGGTGGCGGCAGTCGACTCTCCGGTGGCTGGGTTGTCTTCTCTGGCGAGGGACTCTGACGGATAGGGTTAGGATTCGGGTGCGGATGGGGTTATTTATACCCATCTGCTTTTGATCTGGGCCGTTCATTGCTTTTAATATTGAAGTCTGACGCTCTCTCAACTAAGCTATCCCCGCTTTGCTTGCAGTCGTGCCGATATATTGAAGTCGGTTGATTTTCTCTTCATGGCACCATCTCATTTTCCCTCCCTCGCTCTCATGTCGATCACTCTGCCGTTTAGGTTGGTATTATATCCTTGTTTCTTGTTAGTCTTTAATCACATGAAGCATTTCGGTTTAAGATTTACGAACTTCTAAGCGTTGCAATGAGCGTAGATTTTGGATTCAGAGTCCGATACGCTGCCGTTTGATTGTAGAAATATCGACAAGGAAATTTCTTGTGAGTATATTTTGCTTCTCTTCCTATTTCGTACATGCTGCAATCTACTGTGAATCGTTTGATAGTTTATCAGTGAATCAGAAACTATCGAGTGCTTCTCTTAGTGTTTGCATGTGTCTTGTTGCGATGTTTGCAGATTGTTCTTGAACGAATTTAATGAACAGTGAGTTTGATTCTCTGATTTTTTTTTTTTTTTTTTTTTTTTTCAAATTCCTCTTCCAACTTTAGCTCCAGATCTTGTTATCTAAGTTAATTGGTTTTATTCGGGAAGGGAAGATGGTGAGCGTGAACTCAGGAGGTTTACCATTGAAAGAAATGACAACAACATCCACATTCATAATCTGATAATCAGGATGATGCTGCTGATGACAATTTTGATGGTCAATATGATGATTACAGTCTGAAGCAAACTATTAAAAAGAAAGAAGATGAAAACAAAATACATGAGCTATATACGCAATTCCCAAAGGTTAGAAAAACTGCTTACAATTTTACAGAACGCAGAACTATTAAGATGCATATAACTAGCAGATTGAATCTCATTGATTCTCAGAAGAAAAGAAATAGGAAACGAAATAAATTTAAACAAAATAAGGATATAAATTTCTTTTTCTGATGTTAAACAATTAGAAAAACGTGCGGGGAAAAAAAGATAAAATTTGTGATGCGGTGAACGTGGATCGAACACGTGACCTTCAGATCTTCAGTCTGACGCTCTCCCAACTGAGCTATCCCCGCTTTACAACATTTAAATAATTTTGAATAGTGTCTGTTAAACGTTTATTTAAAAATCATCCGAAAAATTTATGGTAAAATACTGATTTTAAATTTTTTTTAGTATTATCGAATTTGAAATGTATTTTTTCTGATTTTAGTTAAAATAATTTAAGTGTTTCGCTGTTAATTTGAATAGTCCTTACCTTCTAATAAAAACATAAATAAATTTTAGAAAAAAAATATATTTTATCTGTTCCAAAACATTATGTTAAATTGTTTATGAACTCCCTAATAAAATTTCGTGTTCTCCCGTGGAGAACTCAAACAGGAAAATGTGCGGAGGAAAAAAAAAATTTATGATCCTTCAGATCTTCAGTCTGACGCTCTCCCAACTGAGCTATCCCCACTTTGCTCCAATAAGTCCTCAACAATCTTACCGCGCTTGGACTCAAGAAGGAAAAAGCGCTGACAAAAAAGATAGAAACCATAATGCGGTGAGTCTGAATCAAACACGCGACCTTCAGATCTTCAGTCTGACGCTCTCTCAACTAAGCTATCCCCGCTTTGCTTGCAGTCGTGCCGATATATTGAAGTCGGTTGATTTTCTCTTCATGGCACCATCTCATTTTCCCTCCCTCGCTCTCATGTCGATCACTCTGCCGTTTAGGTTGGTATTATATCCTTGTTTCTTGTTAGTCTTTAATCACATGAAGCATTTCGGTTTAAGATTTACGAACTTCTAAGCGTTGCAATGAGCGTAGATTTTGGATTCAGAGTCCGATACGCTGCCGTTTGATTGTAGAAATATCGACAAGGAAATTTCTTGTGAGTATATTTTGCTTCTCTTCCTATTTCGTACATGCTGCAATCTACTGTGAATCGTTTGATAGTTTATCAGTGAATCAGAAACTATCGAGTGCTTCTCTTAGTGTTTGCATGTGTCTTGTTGCGATGTTTGCAGATTGTTCTTGAACGAATTTAATGAACAGTGAGTTTGATTCTCTGATTTTTTTTTTTTTTTTTTTCAAATTCCTCTTCTAACTTCAGCTCCATATCTTGTTATCTAAGTTAATTGGTTTTATTCGGGAAGGGAAGATGGTGAGCGTGAACTCAGGAGGTTTACCGTTGAAAGAAATGACAACAACATCCACATTCATAATCTGATAATCAGGATGATGCTGCTGATGACAATTTTGATGGTCAATATGATGATTACAGTCTGAAGCAAA